GCTTCCTTGTTAAGGGTTTAGAGTTAGGGGTTTAGGGCCTTAGGGTTTAGAGTTAGGGGTTTAGGGCCTTAGGGTTTAGAGTTTAGAGTTAGGGGTTTAGGGGCTTAGGGTGTAGAGTTTAGGGTGTCGGGTTTCGCTGAATCCAGGCTTTGCATTTCATACGGATGTACAGAGAAGGTCAGGGGGGGGGTAATTGGCTGCAACTGCGTGCTGGTCAGCGCCAACCTCCAACTTCGCTTCCTCAAACAACATTGGCCCACGACAAAGGCGCTTGTCTTTCTAAGGACACTCTAATGCGCTGTTAGTGCGGAAGGATAGGGTTCCTTCTGCTTGAAGGAATTCTGAAACAAAGTCCTCGAAGGTCCAGAAGCCAAAATCCAAGCACTGAAGGGTTGTGCAACGGAACTTACAAGTTTGTGAGTGGCAAGATATTTTTCTCCATCAAACTTGTCTCAGGGCTTCTCACGATATCCAGCAGCCTTCGCTTCGGTCAGGGTGCGGAAGGCTCGGCCCTGGGAATTGCGGTAGTGTCGGTCTGCCTTGCCCGTCTTGGGCCTGATGCGGTCCTCGATCACCCAGCCCCCCTGAGCGGGGCGTTTGCGAATCTCCTACCTATTGCCCGCGGCTCCAGCCTCTGCCTTTCCAGGAGCAGGCTTAGCTTTGCTCTTTGCTGCCGCTTTGGCTTTCGGCTTCCTGCCAGCAGCCTTTTCAGTTGGCTCCGCTGCAGCAGGCCGCTTCATCAGGGAGTCCCGCTTCAAAGCTTGCTGCAGCTCCTGCACTGACTCGGCCACCTCCTCTGCCGGCGGGGCCTCCGACGGTATGAGCTGAGCTGCAGGTTCATGTTGGGGGGCAACAAGGTATATTCTGCGGCCATTTGCGTAAACCGTCACTACAGGTAAACCCTGAACCCTTACACCCTAAGCCCTGAACTGCATGATAGAATGAGAGCGAATGTAATCAATGACCTAAACTTCGCTGTCCCAGAAGCCTGAACCGGATTCTAAAAATATAACAGGGAAGCCCCTCTGGGGAGTCCCTGTAATCAGGATTGTGGTCTTTTGTGGGCAAAATTGGACCTCTCTGAGTCATGGAAGCCCCAATCCTTCTATAGGCCTGTATACCATATACCCTACATATCCCTTAATCCCTACGCGTGCAAACAGCCCAAAGTAGGCATTACTTATAGACTGTCAGGCCCAATGTAGGGATTACCTGAACCCCCCAAAGAGCATGTAGAAAATTGCCTTGTTTGGCTTTTGTTGGGGTTGTGGGGCTGTGATGTTACCTACTTCTGGGGTTCCGGTACTTATAGACTTGGAGAACCACCTGACAACCCTAAACCCCAAAACCCCAAACCCCCAAAACCAAAAACTCCAAAAGCCCAAACCCCTAAACCCTAAACCCCTAGACCCTAAACCCCAAAAACCCTAAACCCGATGTCTGCCAAGGCTTCCGGCTGGACTCGAGACTCTGCATCCTCCGTGATGGCCAGCAGATGGTGCATGTCGCTGGTGCCGTACCTCTACTTTAGGGTTCCCCATAGGGATATACCATACAGGGGTATATAGGCTTATTTAGGCAGAATGGACGGGAACATGGAAACTACAATTTCGGGTTTTGGGTCTAGGGCCCATGTAGCTATATCGTATATACCTGACCCCTGAAGTAACTACATGAGAGCCCCTTTGAGCCCTCAGCACATACTATATACCTACATGGATGCTTAGGGTCTACTTTAAGGTTTTAGGGTTACCCCGACCATCATTAAAGTATAGAGAAGGCTATATCTTCTAAATGTCTGTTAAAGAAATATCGTGGAGGGGGGGTATGTAAAGGGACTGGAAAAGAGCATGGAAATTGCTGCGTTGTTGAAGGTTAAGGGTCTGTCTACGGTTTAAGTCCATATACTATCCAGACCCCTATACCCTACCCCCTTTCTGCAGGTTATCTAATCTTATGTCTGTGCTATATACACACAGTTAGGTACCCACCAAAGGGTACTATGAGGGGTCGGGGGTCTAGGCATGTTTGGGGCTTCAGGCCCATTGGGCGCTTGTGCTAGCTGTTTAGATTCACCATCTGCATCTAGTTGCGGTATAAGCTATGCCCAAACTTGAAGATAAACTTAAAGATTCGTATTCAACAATGGCCCAGCCGGTGACCATTGAACCCTAAACCAAAACCTGCAACCCGCATAATGATCCCGCATATAATCCCAGTTTCAATTGAACATGTCATGCTTGTCTCGACTTGGTTCTCCGTTATTTCGTTGGTGCTGTAGAGCTCAAACTCTTAGGTATAGGGCAAGTTCGGGGACCCTATCAATATGGGATGGTAAACAGACTAAAGGCACTTGAACTCAACAACTGAAAAAGCTTCAAACCTACCACGGTAAAAGTAGGCTTAAACAGACCCCTAAGCCTTAAACACCCTAAGGCCTGAACCGTAAGCATCCCCAAGCCCTAAACCTCAAGCCCAAGACACAGCCCTGGCAGCGCCACGTGGAAGACGTCCACAGCCACGTTGAGGCCACCAGATGCTTGGAGAGGCACTCGAAGACCTGATCTCGCCATCTTGCGTCTAGGGGTGTACGGTTCAGGGTTTAGGGCGCTTATCCGCATCTTCTGCATTCCCCTGCGCTTACCCCAAGAATGGAGAATAAAATGAAAATGGAACATGGAAACTGAAATGGAAACTGGTGTTATATATAGGGAAATACAAAGCGGTTTATACTGATTCGGATATGATATCCTAGTGTTGGTCCCCCTACCACCCACCCCTATACTACCCTGCCTTCCTCCTTAGTTAACATCGATTAACCCTAGCTCTCCTAAAATTACCTTCAGTGAGGAGGTACCTATAGGGCGGGGTAACCAACCTACAAACCATAGACCCTAGTAATTCAGGGGCGGTGGGGTTGTAACCTCAAGCACCCCAAGCCGGAAACATCAACCCCAAGCGTTCCACGGAGACAGCTGCAGGAGCATGCAGGTGCAAATCAACGGGCCATGATGGACCACTTAGGACCACCAATTTACCGTAATTCCTGGGGTAGAAGGGACTTTGACTTCAGCAACGTCTCTAGAAAATCCGTAAAATGCAGGTTAAGGGTTTAGGGTAGATGCCTAAATGCATGCGTCTAATCTTTAGGCGTTGCTGCTTCTCAAAACATTAAGCCATTTCAGGGTGCCTGCCTAATGTGGCACACCTTCTGGGTTACAAAAGCTGTAAGAAGGGCGTGCCAAAGCTGTCGCGGTTTTACGTAATTACGCGTAAGAGATGCTGGATTCTCGTAGATGGTTTCTGATAGCACCATCACCGGTCAAGATTCTGAGGGGTTGGAAAAATCAGGGGTCTTCCTTGGCCGGGTTCTCCTTGGGCCTCAAAGAGATTACATTTTGCAGAATGAAAAGGGACCATGTTTTGGAGAATTCCCAATCCCTAAAGCTGCCAGACAACCATCCAAACCTAATTCCCAATGAGTCCATGCAGCCATATTCTACATGCTGGCCCAAATGGGTTCTCATGGAACTACTTCGAGTTGCCAAAATATGTGATACCGCCACTCGGACCTTTCGGGGTTGTGCAGGCAAGAAACATTTAGGCGGCCCTTCTCGTTCGTCGTCGCTGGTCCCGCTGTCGGCCAAGAACTTTTTCAGCTGGTCCAGCACTTCCTTCCTGGGCTGTGTACTGTCACCCCGGGCATCCAAGTCCATAATTAGACCCTAAAGTCTACGGAGAATCAGAGAGAAAGCATACCCAGGCCACCCCAAGTGCTCAGGAGACAGGCAACCAGGAAATGGTTCCGGGAACCACCGGTTGGTTCCCAAATATAATGGGAACCAGACATGGTTTGGGAACCAGAGGTGGTTTGTAGGATAATGGATGATTGAAGCTATTGCTCATGATGCTCGCTTCCATTGCTCATGATGCTGTTGATTTTCCACATCTACCAGAAAACGACAACTGCAGCACCCTAGAAACCTGGATCCACCTCGACCTATATTGTTGATTCCCTTCTGCTTTGTGTTTGGGGGTACCTTCTTGGATGTTAAAAGGGTTATTCGCTCTGACATGACCAAGTTCAGCATCTCTCCAGCTCGAATGTAAAATATATAGCATCCTCATTGCTGGTTATGCTCCCTATTACTATTGTCACCCTATTCATTTCTCAGTTAGAAGCCCTAGTATTTAGTTCGGTGTTTAGATCTATGTGCATGCAAGAGAATTCGAATGCTCGGTCATTTTGTGGCGCCGTCCGCAACATCCATTGGATAGTAAAAATCCTGCACGACGACCAGCTAAATAGGAAAAATAAACCATGTAGGGATTAATACTGCTCATATATAGGTTGCTATAACACGTCATGCAGGGTTTTTACCATCAAAAGTGCTTGGGAGTTCTTGAATTAGTGACTAGACCGTCGAATTTAGGTAACCGCTAGCCCGTGGCCAGATCCATCACTTACGAGGGACCGAGAACTTTATTTAGCATTCTGGGTTAAAGATGATGACTTATAAGGAAAGGATTTCTACCTAGAATTCACAGAAATTGCCGCATATTGCAAACATATGACATGTGGCACTGTAAACCCAAACATGCGTAGATAGGGGAAGAGCCTCATGGAGTCATGTGAATAGGTACGTACTGTTTCCTGCACAATTTGGGTTTCAGGCTTTAGAGGGTAAAGGGTTGCGGGCTTGTAGGGCCTCTAAGACTAAAGGTCTAGGATTCAAAATCTAGGGCTACAGCACTTACAGGGTTTTGTGGTGAATGGCTTCAATTGCAAGGTCCTTGGCGGGATTTTCTGGTTGGTGTTTTTAAGGGCGCTTGTTAGGATGTAGCTGGCCAAGGGGTCAGCCATCAGCATCGAAGATGCGATGCCATGTGATCTGGATCATCAGCAAGAAGCCTTCAGGGCTAGTAATATAAACCGTACTAGCACTAATCAAACCCTATACCCATTAAATTCAAAAGATGTGATCAATTAATAATTGCTTCTAAACACCCGTCCTCAGCATATACCGGGCAAGCATCGTGTGTTCGAACCGCTTCGGAGTGCTCGCTATAGCTTTGACGGCCAGGATCTTAAGATTTCCCAGGAAACTTTCTTCGGTGTAATTTTGGAAAAAACGCGGGTTGTATCCTTGGATATGGGAATGCAAAATTGAAAGCACATTCCGTGCTGGTTCATGAACGGCTTTATGTATTCAATTTCCTACACGCACTAAGCCCTAAAAAGTCATCACCCCTAACCTATCGTGCTATTAACCCTATAGTTATAAACCTTATCCCTATAAGGCCTCAGCCGCAAACCCTAAAGCTCCACAAGCCCTGAGCCCCGGGCCCTAGACCCTAAACCCTAAATCTCACCTTATAAGTCAGTTAGGCTCAAACATGCTAGCGCAGCCATAGCGACTCTCAACCTTGATGCTCCGCAATAGCTCTTCCAGAGCCTTGCACGCTTGCAAGCTTCTAGCGACGTCGACTGCAATTATACTTTTATCGATCAGGCAAGGGGCGTGCAATTTCGGGCGAAGCTGAAAGCGCAGCTCACGACGGCGATTGTAAATGAGGGCGGCTTCGCGGAACAGATACAGGAACACCATTCCTGCAGGGAGTTGCGTATATGAACGATGGATCGATATCTGAAATCGAAAGGACATGCATGACCATATCCGGATCCCGCCTCTTCTGTAGAGCTGCATTGCTTCCGGTTCCGACAGGTAGCGGCCGCAGCATTCCAGATCGTTGTGAAACTCAGCGAGCTCGTACCTGAGCATGACAAATATATGATGATGGGGTATACGTTGTAAAAAGCCGAGAAGGAGAACTCTTACATGCCTAGGGGTATAGCTAGGCTAGCATTCCAAGGCTGTAAGTGCTGCATCTAGCTGCATGCAGCTGGTGATGATGCTGTTCAAGTGCATCCGCTGTGAATAGGCCTCATCAGTTTCCAAAGGCTTGCGTTCGGTGATCTTGGCCTGCACTTGGGCCGAGCAAAGCACGCTGGCTGCCCAAGCTGCAACAATTCTTCCATTAAAGGCCTTGTAGGCAAGAAAGGGAAACTCGGCCCCAGGCCAATGGATCCGTTTGGAATTAAACATCCTTCCCGAGCACGACAGGCCGTGTCTGGAAAGCCACTGGCGAAAGTCAAGGTAGGAATGTCGCAGATGCGTATCAAGATCTTGTGTGTCTGCATGCACTCCATGATCGTACATCCACAACAGTGATTCCGCGTTGGCTGTCTGAACTATTCCGAGCGCCAATGTATGCATTCCACAAAATTTGATCAAGGCAGGGTGGTACCCTGGTACTAAGATCAAAGGCACTGGAGCGGGCGGCATGCACTCGACAATGGACTCAACGCAGCTTCTTCGTTGGTGGTGCGCTCCGAAAAGGCTGAAGCATTTTGCTCCGTCTAGGGGTCTTCGTGAAGCCCTGCAGAGATGGCAAATAAATCTGCCATTCCACTTTGTCACAAGCTGGAAGATCATCTGGTGATATTCCCAATCCCCTTTGAACTCTGTGAGCGCAAACTGGCGGCACAGCTTTTTTCCGAGACGGCGATGTCTCAATGGTATGCTTTCAGCGTTGCAGTCCGGACCCACAGAAGGCCTTAGGCCTTCGAAAGCTGCCTTCAGGGACCACTGGACCCGGTGCAGAACAGGCCGCAGTGTCTTTTGTCCAGCGCTTCGATATGAATTGACGATGAAGAACACGAACGTTTGCCTCCATGGTTCACCTGCAGGGTGGCAGCATGGATGCTGCCATGAATGTACAATCCCCCTAGGAATATAATACGCCCAACGCTCTCACAAACGCTTTCAGCAAAAAACATTATAAGGGGGTACAATAGTAATCTTTAATAGGGGCATGTATATCATGATCTACCTTTGATCTTGTGAAGCGGAAAGCCAATCATCATGGCCAAGAACTTGTCACCCTCCCGCGTGTACTGCGCGGCGTCTCCGTAGATCTGAGAAGCGTGCACGGGTTCATGGGGCGCTGCGCGGCCAGTAAAAACAAAAAAACATATAAGCCCTAAAATCCTGACCCCCCTGAAACCCTAAATACGAAACCCGAAACCCTACACCTCAACGCCATAATTGTAATTACAAGCCTCAGAAGCCGAAAACATCAAACTGAAGCTTGAATACCGTGGAGCCCGCAAACCCTATCCTTTGGCTCGAACCCTTATAACCTGAAGCCTGATACTACATGAATGATCTCGTTTAGAACTCCTATGGGTCATACGTGGGGTTGAAACGATTTCTAACAGAACACAGCTCAAGCCTCATTACAAGTTTCCAGGGGGCCCGCTAATGTGGTTACTATGGCGTATATGGGTAGGATATAGCTATAGTATTATGTCCGTTTCAAGGTCTTACGTGTTGAGCTCAGGCGCAAAATTGAGCAATTCAGAGACCATGCATATATATATATATATAGCCAGGTGGCAGAGATAGGAACGTAGTTGTTTGTTGCCGGGTGTTCTTTCGCCCACTCAACTTCCAATCTCCGGAAATGATTCCAATACTTCCTTAATAATGGGATGGGGTGAACAAGTGTGCAAAGAAGCGCTGCAGGGGTTTGTAGTCTTGTTAAAAAATTGGAAAATCACAATATGATCATGGCACTCGATCTCCTCGCTTGTGATGGTGACACGCTCTGTCATGATCAACCAGTTGATAATTTCGTGAGGATCGAACATAGGAAGACGCGCAGGAATGATCTTCTCCGGGTCAGCATCATTGGGTTCCAAGACCACAGTGTCAACATAGCTGATAGCCTTCTCGCGCAAGCGGGATTGGGAGTACACATCGACTTAGAAATTTTGTGGCCTTAGAATTCCCCGCTATAAGCCCTCAAATGCTAGCAGCGAAATAGTAGACGGGGCACGATGGGTAGGCGGACAAATCGGAACAAATCACGATTCGCGTGGGAGCAGCTTTTGATCTTTGACAATCGTCGAGTAGCCTTGTGTAAACGGCTCGCCCCAGCTTCCTGGACAATGGCTATATTGCATCTTACATTTAAGTACGCAGGACTGGGTTCAAAATTGCTGGTCATGTGACTTTAGCCCTAGCACCCTGCCCAACACAAAAACCTATCTACAAACACCAAATTATGAGGTCCATAGCCTGTTAAAGACCCAAGCTATACTCCCCGCCAAAACCAGAAATAGCCTCAAAACTGTTATAATACAAATCACCCATCAGCTCCTGCGCTGCAGCTTGTGCATTCTTAACGCATGACCACGCAGAGTCGTGACCCTCGCCCAGAGATCTCAGCCTCAAAGGTATACACGCCAGACCCCGCTACATAGGATCTTGATCTACAGCAGCTTTAAATTTATCTAGTACACGTCATCTACCCCATCCAGAAGCTTGCGCATTATAATCTAACACGTCCAAGTGGCACATGGGCGGCAAAGGGAAGCTTGCTTCGCATTACTCTTTGGCCTGCATGATCGACTCATAATTTACCGGAGAGGAATTACATGCTTTCAGGATTGCGCTGTTAATTCTGGCCTGGAGGGGATCGGGATCTAGTTGTGCATCGCGGTTTCGAAGCTTGCGTACCTGCAAGCGCGGGCAATTATCATTATTAGCTGATGGGCCCGGGCCCGGGAATTTATCTGGAATGCCACCGATGGCCTGGAGTGGATCGGGGTCTAGTTGCGGATCGCGGCTTCAAAGATTCATGATCTGGCCAGGGTATTACAATCGACACCCGCATCACAAGGGTCATTAAAATCTGGGTATAGTAGCTATATATATATATATATAGCTTGTAATTACCCAGAAACCTTAAACCCTAGACCCTAAACACTAAACCCCTATTATAATCATAGACCTATATAATTATGTACATACACGTACGTTATATAGAGGTCCCTTTATGAAGAATAGCCAGTATAATGTATCCCTTATTTAACATGAGCCTGCCAGTGGGGAAGAAGATCTTGATCGGCTTTGCCGGGACACAGATCTCGAAGATATGACTGTCAGATTTATAAGATGAGGATTCGGGACAGGGAATTACTGTGATCATGATCTACTGGGCACAATCTTGCTAGCTAGCTGAGTCAGCCTCGTCGCACTGTTCGTGATCTAGTTCTAGCTCTGGTAGGCGACTGCTGCCTAGTTCGGCACGTGCGACCTGCGCAGGGGATGGCTTATTACTCTCACGCTGATCATATGAGGCCTTGACAACAGACCCTGTTACTAGCCCATATGTATATAACCCTTAAAATGGATCAGTTTATAATCCAACAGACCCAGGCCATTGCAAGCCCTCTTCGAGATTTCAGAAGATTATTGTTCAGGCCTATTCTAGCTATAGGGTATAGGATCCCCTGTGCTGTAGCCACAGCATGCTGGATTGACAGATATAACTTTAAACGTTCCCGAGTTACTCGCAACCTGATTGCAGTCAGAACTCAAACCCCGAAGCCCTATACCCCTAAATTATATATATATATATACCCCATAACCATTAATTTCTAAACCTAAACCGGCCCTAGACCCTGCAAGCTATTCAAGATGAGGCTGATCCTCGCTTTTCTTTGCGCATGTCTTGGAGGCTCCGCGCGGGTGCACTGTTGATTTCAAGCCCTAGGCCTATGGCCTGCATTAAAGTTGATCAATCACATATACACGGCATCTGTACACAGGGGTCCCATGCACCACTCTAGCGACTAGGTTTTCCCAGTACAGAGTAAGCGCCCCCTGTGGGGGTGTGCCAGATAGAGGTGAACTTTTTTCGGGATGCTCTTATTAAATTATGCTCTAGAATACTGCATTGGGGGTAGAGTTCTATATGGACAATACGAGTTTGGCACATACCCATGTCTGGTTGCTCTACCTTGCAGTGCGTTTGTTGTACGACAAGCCCGCTACCTAGCTAGCACTAGTGATATGTGGGGCCGGCAGAGCGCAACCAGATCCAGGAGCTACGCTGGCATTCCAACGTTCTAGACACGCGTGATATGACATGATCAATTGATCGGCAGCAAAATTGCTAGCACTTCGCTTTAGCCCTCGCCTTTGCCTTCCCCCCAGCCTTTGGGGCTGCACTTTTCTTGATGGCCGTCCTAATGGGCTCAGCGAACTTCTTGAACTGCACCATAGCATTCGCAATGTCCTGTAGTCATATTGCACTACTACCATCCCTACACCCTAAACCCTAAACAATATGAACCCTAAATCCTACACCCTAAATTCCTAGACCCTAGTCAAACCTCATCCTTGCTGTAGTGGACAATTAAAGTGCATCGGGGGTCTCCTTGTGGGCGTGTATTTCATAATGGGGCCATCATAATAATGAGACCTACGATCTTATATGTCTGGGCTCCTATATGGGTGGTTGTCAAAATTATGGTCCCTTTTAAATTTTGGATCCCTATTATAATATACGGCACCTATTAATATTTAGGGTATACCTAAATTAAAGGAACCATAATTTTGACAACCACCCATATGATCCCGAGCTGTACACTACAAGAGCAATCCTCGACCAACGGCTTCAAAACCTCCTCGTTCGCCTTCTGTCCCAGGGCAGAAGAAATTGCAGCCTTAGCATCCAGCAGCGCTTTCTGCGCAGGTCCAAGATCCATCATCATCGCTTCGCGCAGGTGTTGCGCCCTTGGATCTGACTAGTCCCGGGCGACAATTTATTACGGGGATATATATCTAGCGGGTATACGTATTTAGGGATTAAGGGCATCATAGGAATTAGTTTGGACGCTGAATCCAACAGGATTTCATACCACTATGCTTTCGGGCCCCCATGCTAGCACGTACATTCCAGGAATCTCTGTCCATAGGCGCCGCTATAACAATTGGTCTTTTCAGGCTGCACACTATTTATTAGACGCGAAAATTTTGGGATCGAACGGAAAATCTGTGTTGTACGACTTGGGAGGTTAAGTTGTTTGGGGGTTTTGGGGTTCCTGGGCCTACAGGGACTATAAAGCTTTCGTAGTGAAATGGCCCGGCTGTACAAGTTAAATTTCGGGCTAGTGTCACACCATTGTCGATCATGTCCTTGTTGAAGCCCTCCCCGTCGCGAAGTAGAATGTTGGCCTGGCTGTCTGCCTGGGCAGGTTATTATAACCTTCTCAACTGCAACCCTGAACTCCAAAACCACTAACAGCTGGCCTGCTTGGCCTGGTCTTTTTGTGACTTTTCCTTGGGAACCTTCTTTGGCTTGGGAGCTTTGCGCGCCCCAGCGCCGGGGCACACATTCTTGTCTTGCTCATCCAAGAGCTTCTCCCTCAGATAGATTATAGCTGCAAAATGTGCAGGATAACAGTAGCAGGGTGTAGCAGTACTTGGAGGGGCTGTTTTATTTATAACCTATAGATACATAGGGGACATTAGGGGACTTCTACAAGCAAGTATATATAATAATATGGTTATAAGTAAAACCGCCCCTCCAAATAGTAAGCACTATAGGGAGCGTAGTAGCATGGTTGTAAACCCTGAACCCGAATCCCTTAACCCTACCCTGCGGGCTATAAACCGTTAACCTTGAACCGAGTACGAGCATATGACCGAATCTTGTTGCCAAACGACATTTGCTCCATCATCTCATCTTGCTCGATCTGGGCCTTGAGAAGGAACTCCGCTGACGTCTCGAATTTTTTCTTGTTGCTGTCGAGGGCTCTTGAGAAATTCTTGTACAGCAGCATGTCCTATAAGCAGGGCTTTTTTTACAACTCCCGATAAATGGCACCGC